AATATAACAAATCTAATAAACTTTATTTCATCTTTTTATAATTATTAGATATTAAAATATTATAATTTTTCTATAATGTTTTATAGCCAATTTATACTTACACTTTAAGAGATAATTAGTTGAGTTACTTAAAAATATTAATAAAATTTTAAAAATTTAAATTAAAATCTTTAAATATTATAATTAATGATAAAGAATAATATAAATATAAGTTGAATTTTCTATGTCAAATATTTTTTTTTTACGAATGATAACATTTCTAATATATAATCACTAAAAAAATATTATTATACAAGGTTGAGCAAAATTTCAACTATTTCACAAATTTCACCTGTTAAACAACCTATACCAGTTCAACAACCTTCGCTTATATTAGTTCGCCCAGTAACAACTCAGCTAATAACTGTATTGATTCACCTAATAATTATAGTAACACCTATAGCACTTTAAACAACCATTCTAACACATTAATCTGGAGAGCTAATCAAGAGATATTTAAATATTAGAATCCTAAGATTGATTAGTAATAAATATAGTGATAATTAAGTCAATTTCATTGTGATGTTTATTAAATTGTATTTATATTTCTAAGTATAAAAACTAAATAATTCAAACAGATAATCCAGAAATAGAGAATTCAAAAAAGAAAAACATTCATTTGCAAGCTGAAATACAATAACAACGAGAAATAAAAGTTGAATTAAAAGAAATATGAAGAAAGAATTCAGTTATTAGAAGAAGAAAACTCTGTGATTTGAACCTTTAATAAACAATTTGGAAATGAAAATGATAAGCTAATAGCTGAAAATGACAAATTAAAAACAGAATTGTCACATTTTCACAAAATTCGAATTTCTAAAAATAATCCTCATGAGTTGCCAAGGATGCCAAGTATAGACAAACTAATATCGCCAGATAAATCTAATGCTACAGCAGTAGAGTAAGTATTTTTTAATATATATCAGTTTAATTATTTAAATATATATTACATGTAACTTTTTTGCTATAGGCTGAGATGAAAAACCTGATTAAAGAACAGATACTGGCTGAATAACAACTGAATTATAAGAAAATGTTCTCTAAATAAGCGATAACTGTATATGAAAATCTGATTTCAGAATTGAAGAGAATGATGAAAGGTGTCTTCAATCCATCTGTTACTCAACTGTCTAATTGGCTTAAAGCTATTAATAAACATTATAGCGATAGATTAAAAAAAAGACAAGTTGGAATATTAGAAAAAGTCGATAGAAGGTTGCATGCCAATACTTATATTGCTGAGGTAAATATTTAATTGATTAGATATATACCTATTACATTTATTTTAATACTATTATTAATAAAATTTATCAGAAAAAAAATAGATGAATAAAGGTGACATTTAACTTGTTTAAGATGTATGATAAAAGTGTTCAAGAATTCAACAAGAACAAAGTCATTTATTCTACAATAAAATGATTATCACTCACTCAAACAATATGATCCAGAAGATAAATATCATATAAAGAACACTAAAGAAAAGAAATTTCTTCATGTTTATAATCATCTGTAATACTCATGAAAGGTGAATATTATTTTATACCATATGTTCATATAATATTTATTCAATTTTGTTTTAATCTTTGCTTTTAATAGTTAAAGTTATTGCTTTGAGACATATTAGATCTGATGGTCAAATAGCAGGTTTATAACAAGAAGCAATGAGAACGTATATATAATGATGAGGTATACTTTACCTCAAGTAAACCATCTAAAAAATGTATTTAAGTGAGCAAACAATAATAACAAATATTACGAAATAGAAGAAATAAATGAGATGAATGAATTTATTAATTATGATTATTTCAATGCAGAAGATAATATGAATGATAAAGACTATTTAACTAACCTTTTCTTTGCAGAAGAGATTAAGATTATAACGAAAGAAGTGAATTATCTACTATAGCATTAGCTAGAATAAACGAAATGCAACTTAATAAAATGAACGAATTTTCACGATAACACCCAAAATAAGTGAAATAATTCATTCTATATTTTTATATTTAAGAATTAATATTATATTGTATATTATAACTAACATTAAAAAAGAGCTACTACTGATCGAAAAGGCAAAAGAACATCTATCAACATAGAAGATTATTAATATGATAAATAATTTGCTAATTGTATTAAGAATAATCTGAATATAATAAATATATAATATACATATAAATATTACTAAAAAATTGTTAAATAGCTATATATTAAATGTGTTACATATATAATAATATATATTATGTATAAATAATATTTTTGAATTTAATTTGAATAAGTTACTAATATTGGTCAAATTTATTACTAATACTAGTTGAATAATCTGTCTGAATATACGACTATTGACTATTTAATTATACTAGAACTTTAAACTTCAATTTGATGCATATTAGAATGCTATTAGACCTATATTTGATTTAACTGAATTTATGTCTAATTATCATATTTTGACTGATATAATTTAATTATATCAAAAAATAAAATGTAATAAAAATCTTAATTTGCTAAAAAATTTCTGGAACCTGATTTTCCTAGCAATCTATCCATATGACACTTTCTATCAGTAGACACCAATTGAGATAGCTCTATACTTATTCATCATTTTCACTATTGCAATTTCTTCTTCTTATGTCTGTTATTACTGTAAAAAATAAAATAAAATAAAGATTGTGAAATTTTTTTTTGCAGGCATTTTGAAACATAATTTAAATATATTTACTTTCTATTTCTTTCTTGTAAATCTATCATAACTGTTATTTTAGTAATTACTAGTTTCTTTTCAGTATCTTACCTTTTATAGCTTAGCTTGTGAATTTTTATATATATTATTGTTACCATTCGTATTTTTCTCTTTCTATTCTTTAAAAGGAATTATATTTATCAATAAGCATTTCTTCTAATAACTTTTTCTTTTTTTTTATAAAGTCATCTCTATTGTATGTTTTATTTATTAACATAAATTTTAGTTTATCTTTCTGGTATCTGAAATTCAGACATAATGCTAAGTTTCTGCTTGAAAAAATGGAGGCAGATATTAAATAAGATTGTCTTTTTTGAATTTTATAATAATATTAATAACAATTTTGAAAGTATAAATAAATTAAATATCTTTTGATTATCTTACATTCTTTAATAATAACTAAACTTTAAGAATCGATTGTTAAAAAATGTCTAAAAATTATTTCATTTTTTATTTATATAGAAATTAAAATTAAATACTTACCTCCTTAAAGCTATTTATTCTCTCACAAAACTCCTTTTCAATCTTATCATCATAATTCTCATTCTTACAAGTTGTTGCTATTGTTATAATTACTATTGTTAATAGTAATTAACCATTTTGTTTCAAAAACAGAATCTTTAACTATCTATTCTTATTTTTTCTAAGAAGAGAAGAAAAAGAAAACAATTTTATCTAAATATATAAATATGAATGTTGTATAATGCATTTATGTTCTAATACACTTAGCCTTATAAAAGTTAGCTAATTTAACATCATATTATAATAAATAAATTAAAAAACAGAATTGTATTTTTAAAAATTAACTAATTAAATAACACTAAATAGTTAAGAAAGAGATTAACCTCTAGAGATAAAAACTAAATTATCTTAAATATATACCTCTTATTGTATTTAGAAATATCTGCGATGTTAAACTTAAATAATTTTCATTCCTTATATTTTATTTTAAAAAATACAGAACAAAAATCTTATTGAGATAAAAATATCTAAAAATAGAAAAAGATTAACTTTAAACTATTTAAGATAAAGAAAAACATATTAATATACATCATCCTCAGAAAAGTATCTGATCAGCCAAAAAAAAAAAATAAAAAATAATTATTTATTTAAAATTTTTAAGTGTAAATTTTTAAAATAAATAAAATGATCAAAATTTAAGATATATTAAATTATAATTTGCTAGTGTAAGATCATCATCTTTATTCATAGAAATTGGTCTTCTGAATCTTTTAGCATTAACCTATTATTAGAATTAGCATACCAGTAATTATATCTGTAACAGTAAGTGCTTTTTGGAAACTTTAAAATGGGTATGATTGCCTTATAAGTAATTCCCGTTAACTATAATTTGTCTGCATTCAAAGTCATTTAATTCATGATTTTTTCTCATTTTAAATAGCGCAATTTTTAAAAAGTAAAATCAGAGTTGTTTTATATTTTTGTTTATTGAAACTGATTTATACATTATTACACAAATATAAACATATGCATATCATCATTGAAATCAGAAGGGTTATTTAAAAAAAGCTTGACTGGATACTTTTTTGAGGGTAGTGTATATAAGTAAAAATTATTTACCATTCTTCTGAATCATAATGATAAGGATGTAAGTATATGAACATGTACGAATAATTATATCAAATTGAGTTTAATTTTCAATCAGAATAAATTTGTGACTATTAAGAATTGTCTAATTAAAGCTTTCAAAATTCAAAAAAATTTCCTTTGTCTTATCCACATCTTATAATGAATGGATATTAAAATTAACCTACTTTTGAGTTTTAATACTAATATATGGATGAATACCCAGCAGACTTTAACCTGCAAATCTTGATTTCATCTTTGATGTTTATGATCATACAGTTATTAAAAGCTGTTACTATCTGAGTTAAACTAGATATTAATCCAGTTGGATTATAATTTCTACTAAGCATCCATATATATTTGAATTATTTTACGAATAATCAGATCAGTAGATAATGCTGATAGTTATAAACGTGCATGAGATATTCATGTAACCTATGACTAATTAAATATGTTCTACAAAAAGAAAAGTAATTTTTTTATTTTTTTTGTTATTGCATAGAACTATTAGTTAATTCAATGAGAAAATAATATAAATTAGTATAGATGTACCTTCTGATGCAATATTGGACACATATTTTTTCTCATCAAATCAAATCATATATATTTCACAGTATAATGTTATTAAGATCAAATAATAAAGCATTAAATTTTGAATTTGAATATACATTATATTCTTTAGGCCAGATGTCTCAGATTCTTGGATTCTGAAGCAAAAAATATTAAAAATATTTATATTTTC